GGCACTCAGCCAGACCCTTAAAAGATATCTGAACTAGGATTTAAGTGAAATATGTGCCCTTTATGCCAAAACCATGATCCTGAAAACCCCCGTTCAGCCACTGCCTAATCCGTAGCAGCATGTAAACTCCAGACACGCTTTACTTCCTTATAGGTTCCCCAAGTGATTAGAGGTACACCTAAAGTGCTCCAGTCTTGATAAAGCTGAAAGCTAAACTTTAATGGTGAGGATGACCCAGAATCTAGGCATTGCTGTGCTTATAACCCCTGAGGAGCTTGATGCAGGAGGCATTCTCAAAGCACTCCTAATGCACGCTGACACTACCAAGGCCACACAACATGCAGTGGTGACCATAACCTTATCTTAAAATACAGATGTTAAAGAATCATAAGGTAAAATACAGAAACGCTTCTAGGAAGACAGACTGGAACTCAGCATGCCCCTGCCCAGACAAATATCTTCTAAGCTACAGGATCATGCTCTCTTCTCTGCATCCATTCTCTCTCTGGCCCAATGAATCTTGAATGTTTTTCTACCTTTGAACAGCTGAGAGTGCTCCCAACCAAAGCAGGACAACCTATAGTCTGGTGGTTACGGCACCTGCCTGGGAAGAGTCACAGAGAGCATCCCTTTCTTCAGTGTGTTTTACTGGCTAGCTCAGTGGAGGCCAACCTCTGGCAGGTGTGCCACAAATTAAGCCTCACAGTCCATGACTGCCTCTCTGGTCCTCCTCCCCAGCCGGATCTGCTGTTCTGTTTTCTGTTTCCTGCCCTAGCTGCCACTGTGCTGCATGCCTGCTCTGATTTTGTGCATGTCCCCCACAGAGACTGCCAGGGCCACTTGTGTCACGTGTACCACACGTTGGCCACTCTTGAGTTAGCTCTAGGTCAGTGGTTCTCAGGCTTTTTAGAGGCAAGGCACCCCTCAGAAATTGTCAGCTGTTCATTTTCACTTGATTTTTGAATACAGAAAGAATAATACAGCAATTCTGCTGTTGCAAAAAACTCAGAAAGGCCATAACAGATCAGAATGTTTTCAACACTATGGATGTCTATTGGAAAACTTATTTTGTAAACACCTAACAGTGCTAACATTGCGTGGCACTCCACAACGCACCTGAAAGGATCTTAAAGGCACCCTAGTCCTGTAGCACCCTGGTTGAGATGTACTGCTCTTTGTGGATGTGTACTGACTTAAGGTAGCTCTCCGTTCAGCATACTGGAGATTTTTTAGCCTTTTCTCAGCCGTACAGTTCTCCTACTTTACTGTACAGAGCACTAAAGAGCCTAACCCAGGGATAAGGACTCCAGTCCAAAATGCAGACAACTTATTAAGGCATTGCCCAGCTTCCAGGCATCCAAGTCCTCTATTGGCTCTATCACTGTTCTAACTTTCCTCTCTTAAAAATTTTACTCCTAATTTTAGGAATGATGTGAGGATAAATACATAAATATTAGATACTAGGTATACAGACTGCACGCTGACCTCTTCTTCTATCTTAGACCAAAGTTTTACCTTCTGTGAAATGGGATCTGGAAAATAAAACATATTTATGTTTTAAAACATAAAATAAAGCGTGTATGGGTATGTGTATATATTTTCTAAATACACATTTATAACATAGTGTAAAAGGAATGAAGTTAGTGATGACAACATTTGCAAGTGTATGTTTTAGAACTCATTTTAAAGTGCATAAAATTGGAAAATAAGGCGAATTTACCTGAATGTGTGACTTCATTTTGGCTTGGTGTACACAGCATTACAAAAGGCGAACCAAAATCATCTTCTGTGCACTTATTAAAACCCTATGCAAATGTAAACGGTGTGTTAGGGGCCGACTTGACCACCGGCCTTGCCCAGTCCAGACTGGTATGACAACCAGCGCTAGAAGAGGGCGAGCTCCTCCTCAAGTCTTGGTTTCTGCTCCCTAGAGCATTCTCCCAACAGTCCTTTCACTGCCAAACCTCAGCTAGAAAGTGTCTGGGGCTTTTTAAAGGAAATGTCACAGAAATCTGTTTTAGGGTTATAGGGAAATGGGGCTGGAAGGGCCCTCACCACATAACGTCCCTGGTCCAGCCCTGTCCCTGCTCAAGGCAGGATCATCTCACCGACTGGTAAAACGTGCACGGATATGGACCGGAGCTGCCTTCGTGCTATTTTGGTTGGGCATCTTGTGTCTATGTTGAGTCCGCCTACGGGCCGATCGCGGGCCGACCCGGGCCGTGTGCTACACGTCGGCGGCGGGGGGTCGGGTGGGCGCTGGGAACGACTCTCTCCCCGGGCGGAGGTGAATCCCCGCTCCCCAGGGGGGCCGCGCTGCCCGGGGACGGGAGCCCGGGCGCAGCAGAGCTCCGCGTCCTCGTCCCCGGCGCGGGGAGCGGAGCGGAGCAATCGGTGCGGCACGCCGTGCAGGGGACGGCCCTTGGCTGCCTCGAGTGCCAGCACGCTCCCTGCCCCTCTCCGCCGGCACCCCGGCCCTCCCCGCCTTTCGGGGCCGGCCCGGGGGCTGGACAGCACAACACGCTCGCGGCCGGTACCGGCAGTTGGC